CCTAGCCTAAGACTCCTAACTTGCTTAGAAATATGGAATTTTCTTCAGCTAGTTTGAAAGTTACATACTAGCATACTAGAGCATTTTATTTTTCATTGATAATTTATTAAAATGAATGCTTTCCTCATTAATTTCATGAGCTAATAATATCTATAACTGCCACTCTCTCACTTACAAAAAACAGATTTAGTTCAGCATATGTTCACTTTTCTCTGGTTGCTCTGCTTCTGGTGATTTTGGTATCACATAGGCTTTGTCTGGAATTATTATAGACGTATCTTGTTTCTCTTCCTGATTCTTGCATTTTCTCTTTTCTTTTTTTTGGTCACATTGTGCAGCATGTGGGACCAGGGATTGAACCCACACCCCCTACATAGGAAGCATAGAATCTTAACCACTGGACCACCAGGAAGTCCCCTGATTCTTTTTAATATGAAGTCAAACTTTACTCCCTATATAGCTATAGAATCCTGCAGTATCTATCTCTCTCCCTCTGTAAATATTTGTCCAAGAGTGTATTTAATGAGAATCTTGTTATATATTTTCTCAGTCTTACATCACTAAGAATATAAAACCTGAAGTTCAGAGATCTTTTTAACACTTTGTGTTAACCAGTAACACAAATATTACCCTATTATCTTATCCATCTAAGGGCGTTGTTGAGAAGTTATATAATAACAATAGCTAATACATACAGAACGCTTATCATGTGCAAGGGAATGTTTTAAGCAATTTACGTATATTAACTCATTTAATGTCCATGATAGCAGTCTCATTCTTGTTCCATTATAGGTATAATTCCCTGTTCCCATTCCTTATCCCCATTTTGAAAGTTTGTAGAATTTTTCGTTTTTGGCTGATGGTCTTAAAGTGTAAGTATATTGCTCCCAGATTTGATTTTTGATTTCTGTTTTCATCTACTCAACTTACCAATTCATGATTTTTTAAAATCTAAGGTATTATATACTTCCTTAGTCCTGAAAAATTCTAGTTTATCATTTCTTTCTTCAAATATTTCTTTTCCTCCATTTATTGGGTTTTGTTTTTGCTTTTTCTCCAGTATTATCAACACATAATTGACATATATCATTGTGTAAGCTTAAGGTGTACAATGTGATGGTTTAATGCACATTGTGAAATGATTTACCACGGTAAGTTGGTTAATACATCCATCGCCTCACGATTACCATTTTTTTCCTTTTTTTGTGGTGAGAACATTTAAGATCTACTCTCTTAACAACTTTCAAATATATAATACAGTATTATAAACTATAGTCACCAGGCTGTACATTAGATAATCAGAACTTATTCATCTTATAACTGGATGTTTGTACCCTTTGACCACCATCTCCCTCTTTCCCTCACTACTCTAGCATGTAGTCACCACTCTACTCTTTGTTGGTATAATACAACATTTTTAGATTTCATGTATATAATTGAAGTCTCATTCATCATTTGTCTCTCTCTCTGACTTATTTCACTTGGCATCCATGCTGTAAAATGGCAAAATTTTCTTCCTCCCTTTTTTTGTTCCCTCTTCCTAAGACTCCTGTTACATAGATCTCAACTTTTTATAAAAATTTCTATCTTCTGTATCTTATGCCTTTGCTTTATACTTTCCTGCCTGTGCTTCCTGGGAGAGTTCTCTATCTGATCTTCCAGAGGTCACTAATGCATCTTCAAGTGTATTGAGCCCTTTAACTCTTACGTTCTGATGTCCATGTTTCTTCCACTGATTCATTCTTATAAAGATCCGTGTGTGTGTTGTGTTCCTAATACTCTCCCTTAATTTCTTCGAGGATTTTTATTTGTCTTAATTTTTTTCTTCTCTCTAGTGCATTAATTGTACTTTATCTAGTGTCAGTTGTTCAGTTTCTCTTCTTTTAAAAGGCTTACACCTCAAAAAATTACTTCTTTAGCTGGTAAGATTTCCAAGCTGAAGGAGCAGAAGTCTAGACCCCACCTAGGACCCCCCAGAGTGTATTTGGCACCAGGAAGGAGATATTCCTCAAGGAGGGTCTATGGTGTTATGTCACCCTCCTATCACTCACTCTGCTGGCTCTCCTGACCATCAAGCAGGCAGACTGCTTTGAAATCTTCCTGTGCCTCGGCCTGTGGAACTGTTTTTTCAAGAGCTGCCTCTCTGAATTGCAATCACCTATTCTGTGGGAAATAGGAAGTGGAGAGGGAGGAAAGAATACCAGCGTCCACCCAAGATAGAAAGCTTTCCCTCAGCTGACTGCTTCAGAGCACAGAGCGGTCTTCTGCTCTAGGCTGCCGTGCTCCTCTCACCCAGGCCTAGCCTCCCTCTGTCCTCTCAGGAGTTTCTCACAGTTTGAATGTCAGCTTCTAGGATTCCTCAGTCTTTTTCTTCTCCCTTGGCATCCTCAGGAGTGGATCAGGGAACTTAGAGCTAGATCAATTTCTTGACCAGTACCAGCCAAGTACTTTCTGGGAACTCCCAACTGTATCCTCATTTATAAAACATGTCTAAGAAGACATTTCTCTCAGAAATATGTTCAGGCTGTCTTTCACCCAAGAAGTTTTACAGAGGTGGCAGTTTTATGCCAAGGTGTTGAAATTTCAGAAAGAATAGAGCCAGGGCAGGATAGTATGATAGGCCTTGATAAGTACATATACCTCAACCATATGTATTGGCTTCCAGTACCTCTGCAGAGACTTTTACACTCATTTCCCCCTTTCTTTCCTTCTTTTTTTCTTCTTCTCTCCCTGACCCCTACATCTCTCTCCCTCCCTCCCTCTCTCTCCTTTCCAGCCACCCCCAACCCCCTGAATGTAAAATAATCAGAAGCTGTTTGCCAAGTAACATGAATCCATACAGTAGGACTCAGGTAAAAGCAGATCTGCAGCAGGAAGTTTGGTGGAAGGGCAAAGAGAAACACTTTGGTCAGATGAGGGTGACTGATTTGAGCTCCAGAATTAAAGTGTTACAATATAAGTTCCCCAACAATAGGAGAGTATTATATGGTTCTTCTTTGCTCTTCTAATTATAATGTCCCCTCTGATTTCTACCCATTAATGTGTTTCTTGCCAGAAGCAAGCCAGATGATCGAGTAACGACAGCTGGATTAGTCACTCCAAATTACTTAATAGTTTATAAAAGAAAAAAATGACCAGAAATCTGTAGTCAATTTTTATTTTCTCCCAAAGTGTGAAGTTGCATGGGACTATCCAGGAAACATTATTTTGTTTGCATTCTACATTTACGTAAATTCACAAGAATAAATGTTTCTAATGATATTATCTTCTCTCCTTTGTAAGTAGATTATTGACTGTTACACTTTCCAAAGAAGGATTTCACCAAATAAGGGCCTTTGCAAATGCAAATAGCACACAGTCGCTGAATAAAAAATAAATCTACCCCCAAAGAGAAAGTAACTGCTTCTCAGTAATGATAGTTATTCATTTACCTCAGATTTTTTTCTTTAGATATCCTCAATTCACTCAATATAGAAAAAGGCTTTTAGAGTCAGGATGTTTTGCATTTTTTGACATCTGAATTCATTTCATGATGGCCAGAACTTATCCCACCTGTTAATCTGGCCTTCTAAGCATGTCATAATCATTCCCTCCCTACTTTCTATACCACTATCACATCCATGGGCTTCCCTGGTGGTGCAGTGCTAAAGAACCCGCCTGCCAGTGCAGGAGACACAAGAGACTCGGGTTTGATCTCTGGGTAGGGAAGACATGACACAGGGAAAAAGACCCTGTTCCTATCCAACATGACAATTTCTTAGGGAATGTTAGAGTGTGACAGAGCTGTAGAGAGATGGACATAGTGGGTGCAGGAGTACCCAGGACAGGCATTTAATCCTGTCTTTGGGGACTGTGGAAAGATATTTGAAGAAAAAATTGTGTACTGTTAAATCAGTATGATTACAGAAAGTTATTCAGGTGAAAAAGGACTGGTAGATAGCATTAAGGGTAGAAGGAACTAAGATGAGCAAGAAAGAGTCAGAATATTTGGAGAGTTGCCCGCAATTCAGCATAGCTGAGGCATTGAATGTGAGACAGAAAGAGGAGGGAGATAAGACTGGAGAGGAAAGCTGTGTATAATATGAGCTAAAACTCATCTTGAAGGCAGCAGGGAAGTAAGCAGTATCTTTAAGCAAGGGCATGACAAATCAGATTATTGTCAGAGGTTTTGTTTTGTTTTTTTAAATTAAGATAGAATTGAAATATAAATGATATTAGTTTCAGGTATACAACATAGTGATTCAATATTTATATATATTGTGGAATAATCACTGCAAGTCTAGTTAACATCCATCACCACACATAGTTACAGTTTCCTTTTAGCATGAGAACTTTTAAAATCTACTCTCTTAGTAACTTTCAAATATATAACATGGTATTATTAACTATAGGCACCATGCTGAATATTACACCCCCAGATGTTGTTTATCTCATAACTAGAAGTTTGCACTTTTTGATGACCTTCACACATTTTTTAGCCCCTCTGGCAACCGCCAGTCTATTCTCATCTATGAGTTTGGTTTTTTAAAAAATTCAGATTCTACATATAAGAAAGGTTTGGTAGAAACCAACACAATAGTGAAAACAATTATCCTTCAATTAAAAATAAATAAAATTTAAAAAAAAAGGTCAGATGAAATTTGTCTTTGTCTGACTTCTTTCACTTAGCATGATGCCCTCAGGGTTCACTCATGGTTTGCAAATGGCAGTATTTCCTTATTTATGGCTGAATAATATTACATTGTGTGTATATGGTGTTATATAATTATATACTATACAATAATATAGTATGTATATATATATATTTTCTTATTGATTTATTCATCAATGGACACTTAAGTTGTTTCCATGTCTTGTCTATTGTAAATAATGCTGCAATGAACAGGGAGGTGCAGATATCTTTTTGAATGACTGTTTTCATGTTCTTCAGGTAAATTCCCAGAAGCAGAATGCTGAATCATATGGTAGTTCTATTTTTAATTTTTTGAGCAAATTCCAAAATGTTTTCCATAGTGGCTGCACCAATTTATACTCCCACCAGTAGTGCACAGGGTTCCCTTTTCTCCATATTCTCTCCTGTTTTAAATCTCTTAAAATGTGTTAATTTTTTAAAAGATCACCTTGGTTACTCTGTGGACCACAGATTAAAGGGAGACACAAAGAGTTGCAAGGAGACCAGTTCAGGAGGCTGTTGTAATAATCCAAGAGAGAGATGGATGTGGATCAGACTAAGGCAGTGGAGAAAAATAGATGATTTTCAGAGATATTTGGAAGTGAATTTAACAGGATTTGGCTATTAAGTGAAATAAGGGTACAAAGCAAATATTGGTGTCACTAGTTTCGGGAACCTGGGAGGAAAAAGAGGAGAGATGGAGAAGAGAAGAGTGGGACAGGAGCAGGATGAAGAGGTGGATGATGAAGGGTGGTCGGGAAAGGATGCACACCTTGATGCTAATTAAACAAAAATGCTTTTACATATCACCAACCAGGCATGTAAGGAGGACCTTCCCAGGACCCTGAAATCACTCCACCATGGTGGCCATCTAGCCTCTTCATGTGGTGTGATGGGTGTGGCGGCTAAATTCAAGCTGGAAATGGGCCTAGGAGAAGTGCTATGGCTCAGCGTTGCTTGAGACACAGATCAAGCCAGTTGTGGTTACTACAGGTGGGACACAAAGCTGCTAAAAATAAGACTATGGGTCTCTGTGCATTCTCTCCTAGTTGGGCTTAGTATAGTGATAGTTGTTAACAACTCCTTATTCTTTAAATACACATCCACTGGTGGGGTTCCTGAGAGATGCAGCTCATCCCTACTTATTTGATGTTGCCAAACTTCCAATACTCTATCAACTAAAAAATGAAAGAATTAAGTCTGAGAAAGTTAAAAGTCAGTTTAGCATTAAAAAATTATCTTCCTAAACATAAAGTGATGATAGAGGAGGCAGAGACTGCAGTGATGCAGCTACAAGCCAAGGACCACAAGCATTTCTGGCTACCACAAGAAGCTAGAGAGAAGCATGAAGCAGATTCTCCCTCAGAAGCCCCCAAGGAAAATCAACCTTGGCAACACCTGGATTTTAGACTTCCAGACCCCCAAACCAAGAATATAAACTTCTGTTGTTTTAAACACCCTCTAAAAAATGATCTTCCTTTTGAAGAAGCTGAAATTGATATTTCAGTTTTGATATTTGATCTGTATATCTTGAGAAATAAAATTTCCTTTGCTGGAAGAGCAAAGAAAATGTGCTCTTCATATTTTTTCTTCATAACAACTAAAAACAAAGACAGACTTACAGAATTTTTATGTTAATATCAGCGATACTGGAAGGTTGCCCCGAAAGAAAATAGTGCCCACAGGAATGACAACAACATAGCTCAAGAAAAGCAACTGTGTACTTGATGGTTTGCAATGTGTTCAGTTCCTGGGTAGATCGGCAACTCAAAGTCCTTAGCAGTGCAAAGGGGTATTAGATCACCCACCGCCTCCCAACTCCCCCAACCAAGGCAGGATTCTTTTCTCTGGTATGTTCATAAGGACTCTGTTCAGTCTCGTTTTAAAGGTCTTAAGCTTGGAGGTTTTAATCATCTCTTTTAAAAGACTCTTCCCTCCTATCCTAGGAAGTATGTCCTTAAGGGAAATTCACTGATACTTAACCCATATTTTACTTGTTATAATTTCCTATTACCCTAATTAATACCTTTCTCTGAGCCTTTCCTTGTGACTCATTCAAAAGGTATCATCTCTTCCTCTGCGGAGTTTTTACCATTCAGATCCCTTGCATGTGGACAGTTATCCTGAGTCTGTAGTCAGCTTTAATAGTTAGGAAATGTTTAAGCCTGTAGTACTAATAAATCAACTCAACATATAATTAGAGGCTTAACTCTGTGAAGAGAAGATGTAACCCATTTGTTAATAACATCACTTAGGTCTTTTGAAAACATTCTTGCCTAAAATAACTGAGTCAAATTAAGAATGAGCCTTTAACAAAATGTCAAAATGATGGCCTTCTAGGAGAGTGTGAGCCCAGTTCCCTCACTGAAAGTACAGCTAAGAACGCTCTGTAGCTTTCTGCCAGCCATTCCAGAGGCAAGTTGACTCAGCTTCTCCAAAGCTGATTAAAATTCATATGCAATTAATATTCATTGATGTACTAGATGCTTTTGTTTAATTCCCACATTACACTCATTTTATAGACTACAAGGCTAAGAGATGTTAAGAAATGTGCCCGATGCCACCCAGTTGGAAGTAACAGATTCAAGGTATAGACTCAATTCTTTTGACTCTAAATTCTGAGTTCTTGAAATGTCATTCACCTAACTGCGGGATGATAAGATGATTCCTTAATGGGCTTGAGTCTCTCCACCACACACAAGGCCTCAGCAAAATATCTGCTTTGTATTTTCTGTTGTGCCATAAAGCACATGGACATTAAGAACAAACATTTTTACAGATGTATAAGAGCCATGTAATTCATATTTTCCACCTTGTAGTAATCCATGTCTCCTTGCTCAACCTACTTCACATTACTCATTTTGTATTCTTGTACATATAGCCACTGACCCCTTTTATAGCTCAGGTGCTCCAAAAAGTTTTCCCAAAGATCACAGAGTAGAAAGGGGCTAAGTTCAAAATCAAACACAAGTCTCTCTGTCTCCAGAGCTCTTCCTTTATTTATTTGTTGGAAGTGAATGAAGGAAGCCCTATTTTGTTTTCTTATTTGCAGTGTTGTGGGGGAAAAAAACCAAAGAATGATTGCAACTTGTTTACAAAGTAAAATATGCTAGTGAAGAACCCAGAGTATCGACCTATTCCTAGGAATAGTGCATGCGATGAACTTTAAGATTCACTAAACCAGTTTTTTTGTTGTGTAAATCCTCCTCCTGTCACTGTCTTAAATATGCAATTCATCTCTCATGTATTGTAATCTGTGCAGCTAGTTCTAATTCTACTGCTACTCAGATAAGTTACGTTTAAAATTGAAGCCAATAATTTTTAATAAAGAGATCACTCTGTATAATCAAATAACATTTCAAAAGAACACGTAACCTGACAAACACTACCTCGGCCAGGGTGATCAAGGTCAACGTTAATGATGATAAGTTATGTTGATAGCACCTTTGATGTCATGGGATGAAAATGGCACTTTTTCACTGTGGTCTTGCTCTCAAAGATGCTAATCTCAGTCTAATTATGAGAAAAACATAAAAAAAAAATCTCAAAAGAGGGACATTCTTAAAATACTAACATAAATATAGATGTAGCCAAAATAAAAAAACTAAGCACTTCTCAAAACTATCAAGGTCATCAAAAACTTAGAAAGTCTAAGTAATTGTCCCTGCCAAAGAGGAGTCTAAGGAGACATGATGACTAAATACAACGTCATATCCTGGATGGGATCCTGGAACAGAAGGATAGTAGGCAAGAACTAAGGAAATCTCAATAAAGTATGGACTTTAATTAGCAACAATATATTGATAAGGGTTCATTAATTATGACAACTATACCATACTAAGGTAAGATGTTAATGATAGGGGAAACTAGGTATGAGGTATGTGAGACTCTCCATAGTATCCTCATGATTTTTCTATAAATTTAAAATTGTTCTAAAATAAGTTTACTTAAAACTAAAAGAGCAAGTATGTAGGTTCTTGCTTTGAACAAATTCCTTAAAATGTGTATTCTCCTTCTCTTGTTCTCATGTTTTCTAAAAAATTCTAAGAACACAGAAAGAATAGCATCTTTTTCATCCATAGGAAATAAACTTATCATGGAAGTGTAATAACTTAGACTATTCCCATCCTTCTATCATAACAGAGATTAAGAAATTCAGGGCTATGTTTCTTTAACTTTATTGTTAATTATGATTCTAAAAAAATCATTTTTCCATTTGTAAAAAGGATAAAATTCTGCCATGTGGGAGGCTTATAAAACTTAATGAGATGAAATAAACAGATAGTGCATGAAAAGAATTACTTTAAGTACTGAAACATGCATATTACCATATGATGATAAATAGCTAATGTGAAGCTGCCATGCGACACAGGGATCTCAACCCAGCGCTCTGTGGCAATCTAGGGGGGCGGGAGGGCTGAGAGGTGGGAGGGAGGCTCAAGAAAGAGGGGACACCCGTATACGCACGGCTGAGTCACACAGTTGTATGGCAGGAACCGACACAACAGTGTAGAGCAATTATTCTCCAATTAAAAAGAAAGTACTTTAGTGCATTCCAATATCAGAGCTTTTAAAAATAATCAGTTTTCATCCATTTCTACAGCTGACCAGAAGATTTTACTTTGCTGTCACCAAAGAAGCCTATAATGATTTTATTCCTTTGTTGGGTTTTCTTCACACAAATGAGCATGCACTTACACTTCGCTTAAATACCAGGACATGCTGACACAAGAATTGCATAGACAATCCACACCCTGGCTCCTGCTCAGTTTTTAAAATCCAGGACACAGTGTAACTCAGCAAGGCACTGTTTCATGAATCAGCCCCTTGATGCGAGGAAAAAGTCCTTGGCAACCTGGCTGCGCTGCTCTAAGGTAAGAGAAGTGATTGCCTAGGGAGAAGATATCAAGGCCACCACATGTACAGACTTACTCTGCCCAGGAAATAAGGAATTTTGCTTTGCTTAGAATCAGCCCTAGAATTCAGAATTAAGCTAACTACAACTTATTGTTCTAATATCCTAAAAATGCATGCTTTTCATAAGACCCTAGGCGTTAGCTTTCATATTTGTGCTTGCTTTGCCTCTGCTCGCCATCCCTGCGCCCTTGAAGTTAACACACCATTGCTTGATCTCATCAGGTAATATGAGGTAAAGTGAGGCAATCAGCTGTTCAATTCAGTCACAGGTATGAGTGTGGAAACAACCCCATGTGTAATCAGAAGTCACAAGACAGTAAGGGCAACTGCAGGTTCTGAAAGGAGACCTGATTGGGTCTATGCCAGAAACTAGGCAGCCTAGTTTCTGGGGTGGGGTATGGTCATCAATTCTATGCTGTCTGTTGTTCTTAGGGTTTCTGCTATCAGTGGCTGATTCAAGAGAATCTCACCTGGGGGGACCAACCAACAAATCACCTCCAGTCTCTGGCCCAGGGTAATTTGCAAGTGCACCTTTTTGTCCCTCATGTAGGCCTGTGGAACTCATGCTGATAAACACTCATGACTCGTGGTAGCTACTGACAAGAATTTTATGGAAAATAAATTCACCCAGTTTGGTGGCTTGAGTTTTAGTATTACATGACTCGAAAATTATAATACTGAATTCTACAGCCTGCGTTTCTTTTCTCTTTA